TTCATGCAGACCAGATTTCTCCCTTATTGACAGTTCCAACTGATCCTGGAAGGAAACACATGATACATGACGTAACTGTTATGTGCCGTCTGAAGATTTTCTATAAATCAAATTAAATAATCGAATAAACTAAAAAAAATACACTACAAATAAATAATAATCAAATGAAGTTCTATGTGAATCAAATGACCTTTATTTTTTCTAGCAGCATGTTTAGAAAAAAACAAAACAAAACAAACAAAAAAACAGAGGGACTATGCATCACAACCAGATACCATCAAAGTGACAGAAAGCACGTCAAGACCTCCCAGCACGCAGCTCTAAAAGGTCCGTCTTTGCTTGACTGACAATGTTCAGTGGGGATATTCACAGTGTATACACACTACCGTGTTTTCATATCTCTAAGAGGTGAAAAATGTGACACTGCATTACTCCACCTTTACTCCAAGACATCTGTACGCAGATTATAGCCCGAAGAAATAAAATGTTGGCTCCACAGAGAAACGAAAGAGACACTTTCTCTCTTGGAAGTACATTAAAAGAAAGATCAGCGGTTATACATGCCTTGAGTCTGGTATTGCTCGTCTGCATAAGCTCCATGGTGCTGGATTTCTTTAGCTGCTCTTTCTCAAGCCCTTCTACAGTGCTCATAGTTCGCCTGTGAATCTGTAGCAGCTCATACATGGCATTCAGAGCCGGTACTGCATTCAGGCCAGTCCCCTCTGGTGAGGTGGCCTCAATATACGTAGAGGAGAGGCCCAGTGAGGCAAGCTCCTGTGGGGGGATGGAAATTAAAAGTATGTCCTTGGTAGGGGTTATCTTTTTGGAGACAATAAAACGTTTGCATATAAACCAAACACTTCAAGTAGTAATAATAACAATCAATAATAACAATCATAATAATAATAATAATAATAATAATAATAATAATAATAATAAACCTAGGGCCTTCCATACCTGATTGATGTATGAAATGCACTGAAGAATGTTATCCTCTGTGCAAAAGGCACTTATTACACTGTAGAAGCTTTTTGCCAAGGGAAACGAGTACGATGACACAAAGTTGTTCTGTCTCGAGGGTGACATCGTAACATGTGATATGCTGGATATCTCATAGTTTTCTGTAAACACAGAACAAAGAAAGGGAAAAATATTGAAACTGTGGAAACATTACATCTACTGCTCTCTTCCTCTAAAGAGAGGCTTGAATTAGGTTGCAGATGAGAAATGAGAACAAAAATGTGGGTCACCTCTAAAGAGCCCCCCTCCAAAAAAAAAAAAAAAAAAAAAAAAGCTAATGGGACTTACTATTCTTGAAGCGCTCTATCAAATGCATCGTTTTAGCACACACACACAAAAGTTACCCATTGATGCCTCAGTTGTCCACCACTCTCCCATATCACCAACACATCAGGACACGAGGTCATAAGTTGTCACCAGGGAGATGGATTAAGCAGCCGGGGGTTGTGGATCAGAGGACAGCACTGGAACAGAGCGCTGCAACAGAGCATCAAGTCATGAGACAGACCAGCAACAGATAATCTGAGCCGAAGCTTCATCCTCACAGGATTAACTGTCAGATGTGTGCCGGTTTGGAGGGGGGTTCGAATGGGTTTTAGGAGGGTGCTCCTATTGGTTACTGGCATCCAAACTGCTGGGCTGTAAGATGATCTGAGCCTCAAACCAAAGGATTACAGAGATAAAAATAAGAGAATCCATTACAGAGAGTAAATCTGGCAGACTCATTTGTTCTACGTGTTTGTTTTTTAACTTTAATCACTGACATGCTCGGTGAAACAGGCTGAACCACACACTAAACTAAAGGGGCCACTCCCACAGCCTTAATGCCGTGACTTGCATTCAGGTACAGTTTCATTGTGTTGATGAATAAAAAGAAAAAACGGTGCACTGAAAAGCTGGGGCGTGTAAAAACGGTTGGACGCAACCACCAATCATGGGAAATGCCTGCTGCCTCACAAGCCAACTCTTCCCAGTTTATCTAATGAAGCAGAGAGCTTACACAGCTTTTATCTAGAAATACATACACTGAGGAGGCGATAAAGTCAGACGTGCTACGACGTGACGCACTCAATGCTTAACGTCAGGAGCTGCTTAAACGTACGTAGTCCAGCAAACATGCTTGCTTACTTTGCTGTGTCGTTTGCTAGACCTCTACATGGCAATAGAGAAATACCTTAGAAGCTTAACGCTGCTAAGCATAAATAACGTTCACACATGCCGTGTCTCCCCCGTGATGTTAGTTAGCCAACAGGATAATAATAGCCATGCTAACCTGACAACACTACAAAGATACTCACTCAAGGGCGTGAAACGGGTCAACTAAATCCAACAGTTTAGCTCCGTGCTGCTGCTGGCACGGTTAATACACTCCTTCCCTGAAAACACCTCCAACTCCAGTGTAGACTCCAGTCAACATCCTGTCAACAGCGGCAATAAGTATCAAAACTCCCGACACAGCCCAGAAAATACCTCCACAGGTTAATGGGCAGACTCTGGCTGCTGCGGCGTTTGTATTTTTTTTTTTTGAAGTCTATTCCTCCGCTGTCGTCCAATCAAACTGCATTGTTATTGGTGGCACCGTTGTTAGGCAACCAGTATGAGGGCCGTGCATTGGGTGTACATTATGCAAATGAGAAATGCCGTCAGGTGCCACAGTCAGGTGTCATAAATGTCACTGCAGCGCCCCCTGTGGCTGCAGGAAGTATTACTACACATAAAGCCTGTTTTGACGGCTTTATTTATATAGAGCTGCCAAATTAATTGTCATTACACATAGACTCATTGTGCTTGAAATAGAAGATAATGCCTCAAGACAATGAAAACAAGACAGTAGAACTTTACAAAAAAGTAAAATGCGAGTGATAGAGGTAATTCACTTCAGGTCAGCACTCAGCTCCTCCCAAAGAACAGGGCAACAGCTGATGTCCTGCAGGTCTGTTTGGGTTAAACACGTCTGAGATGTCCCGGAGGCCAAACCATTGAGAGCTTTATGAACTAACAGGAGGATTAGTTCATAAAGGGGATTTGAAAGGAAATTCTGTGTTGAACCGGGAGCCAGTGTAGTGACTTCAATAGTGAAGTATATGTTCAAATTTCTGTGTATGCATAAGGACTCTAACTGTTGCATTCTGGGCGAGCTGAAACTGTACAACTGATAAATTGGATAATCCTGCAAATAGTGTGTTTCACTAGTCTAAACTTCTTGATTTGACTATAAGGACCAATTTCCCTGAGCCAGTTTGAGAATTTTCTAACTTTTGATATGTGACAGAAAGCACTTCTGATAACCTTATTAATATGATTATCAAAACTAAGATCATTGTCCAAAATAATGCAAGGATTCCCAACTTACTCGCAAAAGAGATGATTAGTGTAAAAAAAAATAATTTCTGTCTCTGACTTTCTGGACCAACAACAAATATTTCTGTCTTGTCTCTGTTCAGCTCTGTTCAAAAGGTTTGTAGACATCCAGTAGTTAATGTCATCAGAGAAGCTTATTGGGTTATGTACAGGGGTTAAATCATCAGAGGAACAAGGTAGGCACATCAGTATCATTTGCATAAGAATGATAGGATATATTATTATTCTCTATGGTAATACCAAGCAGGAGCATGTAAAGGTTAAAGAGTAATGGGCCAAGGACAGACCCTGGTAGAACTCCTGATTGAATGTTCATTTATGCAGCTCTAAATCAAATAATTGAAACAAAAAAACCCCGAGCCTTTAGGTACAATACAATGAGACCCAATTAAGAATCTGAACCTGTTAAATCAACTGGATCATAAAGTCTTTGAGTTGAAATGTCCTGATCATCAGTGTTGACAGCAGCAGTGAGATCAAACAGAGCTAAGATCTGCTGATCTTAAGGTCACTGATGACTTTATAAGAGCTGCTTCTGTGCTATGATTGGTTCAGAGACATCATTGGCACATGTCATAAGTGCTGTGAGGTAAAATTAATTCAGCTGAAACAAATGTTTTATTTTCAGATATTTTGCCGACCATGTTTGTGAGAAAAAAGTCAGATTAAATTTAAAATAGGTGCCACTGTTATGGCTAAAGGTGCGCTGAAATATATCCAGAAGGGACATGACTGATCCTAAGTAGCTCTCAGTACTGAAATTCAAACTTTATTATCTAAATAAGGTGCTCAATTTGACATTTTGTGCAAAAGAAAAAAATACAAGTATAGCAAAAATACACAAAGTAATTTATACAGGTCATAGGATATGCTTCTGTATTGATGACAAAAAAAAAACTGTGCTCAGCACAAAATAAAGAGATGAAAAGCAATTACGTTTCAGGAAATTCACTTTCACTTTACTTTGCATTTAAGTTGTGAAGTTTATTTGAGAGTTGCATCTTTTAGCATGGTTTCCTCACAGCGAGAAGGTTCTGGGTTTGTACCCTCTGTTGGACTTTGCATGTTCTCCCTGTGTGGATTTCCTCCAAGTGCTCCAGTTTACTCCCAGTCCAAAGATGTGCTTGTTCGGCTAATGGTGATTCTAAATTGGCCATATGTGCTAATGTGAGTGTGAATGATTGTTTTTCTCTCTGTGTTGACCCTGTGATGGACTAGCGACCTGTCCAGGGTGAACCCCACTGTTCAACCAATGTCAGCTAGGGTAGGAAGACTCCAAGTTGGATAAATGATTATGAAAATAGAAAGATGTTTAAATTTTCTCCTTAAGTGCTTGTATATAAAAGATCGCCAAGTTACATCGTTGTTGTGTAGCCAGGAGGAAGTTCTTCTTAGTGTTTTTCTCCACTAATGTCTGAGACATCTGCCCTCCATGTTTGAATCCAACACTGGCAAGAAGAGAATATTATTTGACATATTTATACGGCAATGCTTGATATTGATGTTACATTGGTTTATAATGTGGCCATATAATATCAGCATGTCCTTAACATAGGAACTTTGCTAATTTACTAGTTCTAAAAAAGTCAGAACTCAAGTAAAAGTACATCTGTTTAAGTTGGAAGATATTCCATCACTATCACCCAATAGTGTTAACAAAGGCTCTATACAGACTCTCAGGACCCTGTGGGGCATTTTGCAGTCACATGAGGGCAACCCGTTGCTCACAATTGGCAAAAAGATGATACTACATCCTGTTATCCAAAGCAACCACTTGAAAACATGCAGCAGGTCGACTCGTCAGTATTCTGGTATCGTCCAGACTCAGGCTGATCTATGCACTTTGCAATGAAGGCCTGAAGCTGGGACACTGGCTCCTTGTCTTTCTGATGATGCTGAAAAAAAGAACCATTATAAGAATAAATACATAAATACATAAATAAATAAAATATGCTCAAATTCAACAGTAAATTACATCCCTGCAAGATATCAAATATCAGGGTGGCTCGGACTGACCTTGATGGTTTCGTACGTGTCAGTGATAAGAGCAATGAACAGACTGAGCACCATGTAGATGAAGATAGAGATGAAGGAATAGAGGTAGAGTCTGCTGAAGAGCCACACCATGTAGGTTTTGTCTCTCATCCTCAGAAAGGTGGAAAACATATCATCACCATTGAGGAGAGAGAAGAGGCACTCTGTCACTTTAGCCAGTGTTCTGAACTGTAAAACAATGTTTAAATAACGATTAACATTCTGACATCGTGTTTCTGGAAATCATGTCGGAACAGATCACCCTAATGTTTGTACTGTAATATGAATTAAAGTGTTTATACTTTGTCGTGGTAAGGTCCAAGGACGATCCAGCCACAGAAACAGTACCCGAGGTAGATTATGGCTGCACAGACGCAGAATCGAAACACGTTGGGCAATGCCGCCCTCAAGGTTAAGATTAAGATCTAAAACAAAAAGAAGAAGAAAAAAATGCCAGTCCCTCTGGAAATGCATTTGCTCTTTATTTGTATAAAGTATTTTTTATTAGGCACTGTTAGGAAAGTCTTACATTGTACTGCTTGAAGAAACTCAGGTAACGAATCACACCAACCCAGACAAGCATCGTGGCTGTTCCCAGCAAGATACTGCAGACGTCATAGTTTGTTAAGAACTGCAAAAGAAAAAAAATACTACTGATAAATTTGATAATTCTGCAACCCTTTACATCAGAATCAGAATCGTGTTTATTGGCCAAGTATAAGTGTTTTTACATACTGATTTCAGACCATTTAGAAAATATTCACTGATTTCTAAAAGAAAAAAAAGAGAAAACCTTTGTTTGTATCCCAATTTTCAGCACTGATCCAGTGATGGTCATTATGTCACTGACAATAATGAGGATGTACCAGCCATTCACAAACTCCATGCGGTCTGACCAGGACACAGTTTTATTGTAGTAGGCACTGAAAAATATGCTGAACTCCTACATATGAGAAATTTATCAAACAAACAGACTGTCAAACAAGTCAGCTAATGAGATGTTACTACAGGCAGTAGTAACAGGCACATTTTAACATGCTTAGTCTATTAGCTAATACTATAAAGCAATACTGTGCAAAAATCTTGAGTCACCTGACTATGGTTTTGGGTCTACACATATCAAACACCTTTGAATAAATTTTAAATTGTATCTTCACACATTGGCAGTCTGTTAAAACATGTCACACATCAATTGTTCCCATTTCATAAGTTGAATTTACAAAAAATGACAAAGATAACACAGTTTGACGGGCATAAAATATATATTTGCAATAACAAGGTGATTTCTAAAGAGCTATTATGCCATAATTTGGGATATCTCTTTATGGTGTGCAGTGTATCCCTAAAAAGCTGAGGAAACGGGAAAAGAAAAGAAGCGGCAGGCCTAAAAACTATCTAGAGCTGAAGAACAATATCTGAAAGTGCATCTAGCCTCATCAGAAACAGTCTTAGGTGGAAGCATGGCTATCAAGAGTTATGCCAAATTACAGAAGGACTGGACTGAAAATAAGTGGTAGTGTCAAATCATCTTGATAGACAGAAGAATAAAGGTGGTCATGCCAACATGTTTGTATGTTTCCATAAATCTCTGCACCTATGTCCCATTTTCCCCACAAAATATAAAGAAATGAAAGGTGGCTCAAGAGTTTTTCACAAAATGATATGTGCTCTTCTTAAAAACTACATCATGTTACCAGTATGTAAAGCCCCTCACCAAAAGTATAGAGAACATTACTTGATTGACCTCATCAACTATAATTATGGGCTGCCTCAGGTGCTGTTTAGTGTCTTAACTGAGCCAGATGCTAAAAGTATTTCTGTGGTGATACTTACAAACTGGAGCTGGATGCCATGGACGACAGATCGTATGCAGAGGATGAGAGAGGCGAAACAGGCGAGGAAGACCACAGAATCAAACGACAAGAGGAGATAATCGTTCTTCCCAGCTAGAACATTTGAGGTCAGGTGTTAATATTTTGGGGCTCTGTCTCTATAAAACCGAGACATAACCTTTGTCATTTCTTGGATCATGCAGGTACAGTTGCAATCAAAAGATTACGTACACTCAATATGGGCATGGATGTCATAGTAATTTGGGGTTTTTAGTGATTTGATTGAACTGTTTGTTTTCCAGGGTGGAACGATTGTACAGCGTACGACATTGGATTTACATTGGATTTTCTCAAATCCACATAGGGTCAAAGTTAGACATAGCAGCTCAAACATGTACACACCCCCCCACTAATATTTGTTTAAATGTCCTTCAGTGAGTTGCACCTCAAATAAATGCTTCTGTTAGCCATCAACAAGCTTCTTGTGTAATTCTGGCTGGATATGTGACCATATTTGCAGAATTGGTAGGGTTCATTTGAATTGGTTGGTTTCATGACATGAGCCCAGCTTTCAAGCATAGTCCAAAAATTTCTAATGAGAAATGAAATTATCATCTATATCAGCGGTCTCAACCTTTTTTGTGCCACGGACCGGTTTATGCCCGACAATATTTTCACGGACCGGCCTTTAAGCTGTCTCGGATAAATACAACAAAATAAAACTAGTACCAGTATCGAAAAAAAGAAGATTTATTCATAACACACGTGAAAAGACCCAGGAAAATCGAGTTAACAATAAAAACGATAACAAAATAACGCTGAAAACCGATAAAAACCCTGAAAACCATACATTTCACACCTGAGCCTCAACTCTCGTGGCCAGGTACCAAACGACTCATGGACCGGTCCGAGGCTCGGGGGTTGGGGACCGCTGATCTATATTATCCATTCCAAAACCAGTTTGATGTGTTTGTCCTTTTGAAACACCTAACTGTGCCCAAGTTTCAACCATCTACCTGTCGATTTGAGGTGACGTTGAAGTATTTGGATGTGCTTCTCCATCGTTATAATTATTCTACCCATTTTGTACAATGTACCAGTACCAGTGGCAGGAAAAACAGTTGGTACACTGTTCTTGGGTTTGAAAGCCTCACCTTTATTCCTCTAAACTTACCCCTCACCACTGTGGCCAAATAGATCAGTCTATCTGGTCTGAACATCTGAAACTTTTCTCCAGAATGCATTTGGGTTTTCTTAAAGGTGTTGATTTGGGAACAGTAGCTTCTTTCTTGGTCAACACCCTCTCAGTACATGCTGATGTAAAACTTTCTGCACCACTTATTATACTTTTGACCAAAAAAACCCTTTTGTATCCAATTCTCATTCGACCCTGGAAAAAGAAGACCTCAAAGAAATCATTAAAAGCACAAAATGACCATGACATTCATGCCTATGAGTCTGAACACAGCTGTATTATGAAAAGCAGAAAAGTGTTACTGTGCCCCCTGCTGGCGTTTGACTAACACTAACAAATATTTTGCTTCCTGGTGTCTCTCAGTACTATTTCTACTCACATGTGCCTTCCACGTTCCAGTCACTGCATTCATAAATTCTAACATCATTTTCAATATCAACCTTTATCTTTCCGCTGTGTGCACGATTGTCAAAAACGATCTGTGTAAAAACAAAGGATGGTTCGTCACTGAGCTTGTAAAATCTCCTAAAATATTATAGAAAATATATCTTTGAGATTGTGGCACTTTTCAGATAGTGTCACCAACCACTATGTGGAAGCCATAACAGTCTGGTAGCTCGTGGTGCCGCACAGTCTGCAGATTGATGGTTTTCAGAGTTAGGTAGATGTTCACAGATAGCATCCTGGACACACAAACATATATTAGCAGCCAACACTCTTATCATTGGACATGAAACCAATATTTTTAGTTTAGCCACCTTCTGAAATCCAAAGAGAAGTTGGGATGCGTTGCCAGAGTGTCGTTGCTCAATGATTGCATAGGGTGTATGGAAATACAATCTGTGGTGGAGAAAATGTGTTCAGAAGTTATTTCAGTTTGTATTATTTAGCAGAGGAACGATGAAGCACAGATCCCCGTGAAGAGTAGAACAAGCTTCCTCTTTTCACGTCACAAGTGCACGGTGTGATTATTTTCCATTCTTGCCACGAATCAGCTTCAATAAATATATCTTGCACAGAATATTAAGCATTGACTTAAACAGTGTTGCAGCTACGTTATGTTTTTGTACCTTTATCAATATGCGGATCAATATCAAAGGTGTCGTTTTCAGGATCGATGGTGCTGTTTCTATAAAACACTTGACACAAAGTCAGAGGAGTGTAGTCGCCATTAATGAGCTCATATGCAAGATTACCTACAGTCAGGTTTTGGAGATTGGTATACTGAAAAAAACAGACAAAGAGAAAACAGACAACATCTTTTAATGGTGTAAAATTAGAATTAAATAGAAGATGCCACGTGATTAAACAAAGGTTTCAGTACCCTGTTGATAATGTAGTGAATGTGCTCATTCACATCTCTTTTGGTATAAAGGGAAAGGCTTCCGTGCCGGTGATCCTTGTATCCTTTGAGAAACAGATTCCTGAATGTCATCAAATTTTCATCCTTGAAAGTCACCATCATTTCATTACTCAGGCCAAAAGACACCAACTGTTTGGAAACAGGGGGAGAAAGAAAGTCTCACAGGTAAAAAAAACAAGTAGCTCCCGACCTCTGTACACATTCACACGTAACTAAAGGATTACCTGGATAGTAGTGATTGCAATTTTTAATATTTGTATCGTCAGTTTCCATGGTTTCCGACCCCTGGCTCTGTACTTCTCGCAGGGATTCATGAAGAAGTATTTGAGCCTCCGTCTGAAATCCTCCACCGTCTTTGTATCTAAGCCGCAGCAGCCGTTTCGCTGACTCTCCTCTGACCTGGCAGCCAAAAGCTGCTTGGAGTCCTCCATTAGGCTGAAGGCAGCTTTGTGACACCTGCATCAGAAATGTTTAATAGATAAAGAAAGCATCTGGCCATTCCAGTCAGCCTGATGTTTATCTAACTGGTTCTCCAGCCTGTGTACACTGCTGCTATTCTCTTCTTTATAGTTTAATTGTTATACTTCAAGACATACTAATTATGCAACACTGAGCCACAACACACTACAAAACCACAGCCGTGTGGTTACCACACACTGGCCCATTTTAGCTCATAGGGCTTCCTGCAACAGGGAGCAGAGAAATGTACAGATTTGAGAGGTGTGTGAAAACAATTACTACACATATTTTTGCTTAATAAATACAAGTTAGCTGCTTATATTGGATGTTGTTATATAATTATATATATTTTTAAATCAGATGCTAACTACATTTGTTAAACTTCACTCTACACATAATTATGATATTAAATTAAATACCTGTTAGCGTTCGCCGAGCACCAGCGACCCAAAGTTCACCCAGTCTAACACTCAGGGCTTCTCAGCGGTGTATGAAAAACCAGGTGATACAGTCACCACTGCAGCCGTCACCACAATGACTGTCATTCCTCTGCGCCACTTGTAGCTTTTCCAGTTTTTTCCAGAAGTAAAAAAGTACGTCTGCACACCCAGAAGCTGACGACACATTTAGACGTTGGAGGCCTGTCAATAACTTCATTTTGACCTCGACAGTTGATGCCCTATTTTAACAATTATCGGCACTCTAACATTTAGATTTTTCATAATCACTACAGGAAATCAACCACACAATGAAAAAAGGAAAAAAGAAACACAAGCCCAGTCCATATATGAACAACCTTTAGTTTTATTATTACATGACCAGTGAATAAAGAAAGAAATAGGATGTCACTGAAACTATGTTTACTAATTCAAGACTATTGTAGTGACAAAAACATGAAGCAAATTCTTGATGACTTAATGCACACACATGAAAACAAACAACAGAAAAACATGAGCTGGAGTTCTGCTCCAAGACTGGCTCTTTATACATGGATATATATATATATATATATATGCTCAAGTAGTCGTTCAAGTGTATACAACATAGAAACTGCATTCGGCCTTTACAGCTCATCAGAAAAATCACACCTCCTGTCACAGAAGGGGAGTAGGAGAGGTTAGAGAGGGTGAGTCACATTTTCTTCACTCCTGACACATCGCGCTGGAAATCTAACCGCGTTAGAAATGCATCTGATGCACGCGCAGATTTCCTCTTTCTTCTTTGATGGCACCGTTGTCTCATTTTAGTCATATTTTCCATTTTAAACTAGGCAATCTCCATACCCTAGGGTTTGGTTTGGTAACAAATTGGCACCATTTGAAAAACAAAAAAACAATCTTTAAAAGTTAGCCTAGCTGATGAGAAAATGCCCCCATTTTCATTCTAAAAGTTAGCTAATATAGTGGTAGTATACAGTATATGCCCATGTGCAGCAATTTCTCACCAACTGCCTCATCGAAGGCACGAATATCACTGAAAAAGAGAGAGTGAGTGTTGTGGTTGGCTTTTTAACCGGTTGAGAACTGTCTTATTGAGATATGCTCCTAAAAGATGCTCCTAGTTGAAGTTGGCGTGAGGGAGCGCGACCGGAGGGGCTGGAAGTTTGGATCGCCTCCACTGCTAGTGCACCCCGGCGCTCCAGCATCTATGCTGGAGGGGGACTCGACCATTACCTCGTCCGGCAGAGGAGGCGCCCCGGGGTCTCCGGGCTTCGGGAGGCTGGATGATGTCGTGGAAGGCGTGGCGATGCTGGCGCAAGCCACGGAGGAGTCTCCAGCTTTTTGCGAAGACAGCAGATCGAGTGAGGTGCCCACATCTGAGTTGGAAGGGCTTTTCTCGCTGTCCGGGTGAAAGAGCAAGGTGGAGTTGTTTGAAAATGTTGATGGGAGGTCGCTGGTTGAGGTTGGAGTGCTGAAAGTGGAGTCAGATGAGGAACTGGAAGCTCCTGCCGCTGAGTAATAGAAGAGGGGGAAAAAAGGGGGAACAGTTGTAAGTCATAAAGAACAAACGCATTAAGCACTTTTTTGCATTACACACAAACACACAGACACACAACTATTTTAGAAATGGACGTATTAACCTCTGAGGGACTCGATCTTCTCATTTTTGGCCTTCTGCACCTCGTCTGTGATTTTTGTGATGATAAAATTTTGCGAGCGCATCTCCCGGATCGACTCGATCAAGGCATCCAGGCCGCGGGGGTTCTCAGCCAGTATGTCCAGCAGCACGGCCGTCCTCTTGGTCTGTGTAGTCCTGCAGCTGATCTCTTCTGCATCATCTCGTGTCAGGATCCTGCGAGAGCGCAGGTAGTCCAGGTGGCGATCTGCTCTGATTTTATCGCAGAGGTAGTGCCGCAATCTGGTCAGCACCTGGAGAGCCACAGGAAGTCACGGAGGGCAGATGAAAAGAGAGCAAAGTGAGGTGTCAATGAACAGGAAACACACAGTCCAGGGTTCACCCCCCTTCCCCCAAATCAAAGACTACAGCAGGCCTGGATCTGCTCTCTCTGTGGCACATACAAAGTAAGCTGGGTGTCCAGATGTGCCCTAAACGTCCATCTTATTGTCCTGCTGTTAAATCCTACAGAAAGTGGAAATTGTGAGGGCACAAAGAGGGTGTGGTGGGGGCATTTCCTCCTTTTAATAGGCCTATAGCGCTAAGCAAAGCATAAATATATATTTAGCAGCGAATCTGTTTCCACATGGCTCCCCTTATCAGATTGATCTGGCAGCTGTTAGGAAGCCAGAGCGTGCCTGAAGTATAATACTCACGTCTTTCTTTATCTCTGCCATTTCATCTTCAGTGAGGTGAGGAGCATCCATCCCTCTCCCCCGCAAAGTGAAAATCCAGGTGGTAACGACAGAAGATTATTTTAATAATCTCGTAGTGGTGGATTAAAACACAACAGCGAATGAATTATAGAAGTTAAATAAGTTGACACCTTATTATTAATCGATAAAAGGTGGTCTGTCGACTATCCATTCAACTTTTTTTGTTTCAACAACGGAAAAAAAATCCCCGGACTTCCTGATTGTGTCGAGGCTTAACTACGTCAACACACGGCAGAGACGTCGGTTTCACACTCAGCGCTGGTTTAAACCGGTAACTGTGAATAAAAAAGTCCACGTTCACCTCAAGATTTCTCCTGTTTTACCAGAACAACTCCAAACTGAGCAACTTTCTTCGCTTTGAGTTCTGATGTGCGACTTCTTGCGCTTCTGCACTTCCGACCATGGCCACGCGCGCTTCTCGATAACTCCGTTAGGTGGCGCTGTTGGACCTTCTCGCATACAAACACCACGTTTGGCAGGTTTTGCTATACCCCACAGTTTAGTCTGACAGCATTCATTCAAAGAAAAGTAAGTGTTACACTTGCCTAAATACACCCAGTAAACTATAGGCCAGTGGTGTCAAACATGTGGTCCAGGGCACAGAAGTGGCCCTCTTAAAGGCTCCCATAATACTGATGAATGTGGAAAAACTGAGACATAGTTTTGCAGTTATTTTTCTTATGTGATCTCAAGGTTGCTTATTAAATAAGAAAAGAAAATAATGTGAAATGTTACCACTTGTAATCTGGCAGGGTTTTAAAGAAGCAGGAGGGATATGAGCTTTTTACTTTACTAGTTTACTCTTTGTGGGCAATTAACTAAGCTGAGTTTGGCACCCCTGCTGTACTGCGTGGCTATACTGGCTATACACAAGATATTTCTCTAATCTACAAAGTTACTTAAGTACAGAGCAACTCTCAGTTAATTTCAATTTCAATTTATAATTTTTTCTGAATTTTTGTTGCTGATTTATTGTAATGACGCAAATCTGAGGTGAAACGTAGGCTTTTTTAATGTGATGCAGGGCTTTTCAGTTGCTTCACAAAAAACGTCTATGCTTTACGATCTGTTTGTATGTTTTGTATGTGGAGTCACTGCAAAGTAGCTGTCGCCATCAGATAAATTTTCCTTGTGAAAAACAGCGTAGAAGTTAAATAGTGTTAGTTCCTCCGTAGAAACTGGATGAACAGAGCCTTGGGAAAAAGCTCAGAATGCAACAAAGACAAGCTCAACAGCACCACAAACTAAACAATCTGAAACAGCATCTGCAAAAATAATTATAATAATAAGGTTATTACTACTACACAAACAACTAAGGGTTTAATAAGTTAGTTGGCTGTGGTGGAGCTGATTTTATGTAAACTGTTGATTTGCTGGTCTTGTTTGGAAAATCTGCACAGTAACTCGGAGAATTAGAGTTGTACATCAAGTAACTATATTTCTGTTACTGTCAGTCATGCAGCTGGACACATTTTAAAGTGTAGTACTGAGCTTTGAAATGCGATGATCACAATGTAAATTTTCAGCAGGCAGAGCCTGTATCATCGATTAGGTCACAGAACAGTTTATATACAAATAAAGCTGAAGGGTCATAGCATTAAAATCACCCGCAGTTCAGAGAGAACACCGGGTCAAAGTTCACATATACAAAGTGAATTGCTGCGCAGTAGAAGTGATGTGACACTCTGGTAAACATGAAGTCTATCACAGAATGGCTGAACGCATACAGATTTTCACTTCCCCCTAATCGCAGTATAGCACAAAGAGAGGACGGGCGCTCCCTGAGGAGATTGTTATCAGGCTTGTTTTGTCATGCTCTGCAGTGTAGTACTGTATGTGCTGTGTGAAACCACCATCAGCAAGCAGAAATGTATATGAACTGTAAATCAGATCGCAGGACTCATGCAGCGATAATGATTTAAAGCCCCTCACAGCTGTCTGGCTGCTGTTTCATCGCAGCAGGAGAATGTCAGATGTTAAACAAAAACGTGGAATGAGCGTTAACAGAAACAGACAATGCGTGCCCACTTGTCCTCGCCACAATTCCCTTCATTCATGCTGGACAGCAGAGCTCAGCAGCCTGGAAATGACCAGCTGTGCGTTTCAAATGAACCCAGTGTGCTGACTCCAGAGTGCCCTTCGTGCAGAGCCGGACACAAAAGAAAAGAAGGCATTTATAGAAATGATGTCACCGACGGGACTTTCATTCATATCAGCACAAAACCCACTCTCACGTAACAGCCAAGACACCACCGTGACCTCGCATCCACTGTGGTTTTACAATATGCGTAAGTGAGGAGGTATTTGTGCTTTTCAGTCGATGAACCATGCAAAATTACTTCTTTTATAGCTTTTTTTCACACAGCCTATTATAACCTGCCCACCCACCTTACTCATTCGAGTGTATCCCATTAAGTATCAGGGATATGTAATTTTAACAGGGCGCTGCAGAGTACTGTGCAATGCACGTCCACCCATGGCTTGTATCAAGTATCTGTGGGAGGATAAAAGGTCTCTCTAACACAATAACTTTGAAGTAATTACATGTCGCTCTCATTAAGTGAATTGCAAGATATGAGAAAATGCACGCTTTATATACGCGTCTTTGCAAGATGCGTATATAAAGCCCTCTTTAGTTTCACATCTGTCTGCTCTTGTAACCAGGTTTGAGACCCACTGGGTTCATATTCATTAAGCATCTCAGATATATATTTAGGGCTGTTTGTTTGAAATCTGTACCTTACTGGAAGTCAAGGCAGGGAGCTGAGAATCAGAGCCGTCTAACAGTCTTTTTAGCAAGGACAATAAAAAGAGCCTCGCATTAGGCAGCCCTGCGAGACACAAAGACATGAATAAGCTTCTCTGGATCTTGTAAAATGTAGTAAGAAGCCCAGGATGTTCCTTGAATTTGATCATCTTTCATTGAACTTTCTAATACGATTTTCTTATTTATAATTTGTCTACTTTTAGTCTACTGATTTTATGCCCGTGGGTCAGTGTCTTATTTTATCGATTGTTGTTTTTGCACATGATGTGAAAATTTGAGGTAGGGCGGAGGTTTCACTTACAGTGATCAGTTCAGCTTGTAATACAGCGTGGCACTTTTTTATTTATTATTTCTTTTTGAAATATAAACTTTCAGTGGCTTCCAGAAACAGTCATATCTAAAGTATCGTTCTGCTTACTATATGCACTGAGTTGCTGCCATATTAGATATTCAGCATCACTGATATCTGCTCGAAAAAGTGATGACTACTTCTTTAAGCCAGGGATGTCAAACTCATTTGAACTCATCGAGGAGCAGATCTTTGATCTTACATGGGCCGGGCTTAGTGTAAAGAAGCTTAGTTTCCCATTAGAAAAGACCAGTTACTTTAGTGTAGCGTGAATGACCATGGCTGAAGTCTTTACCTGCAAAAATGAAGCTTATAAAAACACAGTTAAAAGTCCAAGATTCATGCCTTCCTTCATTTTTATCTAAAGCTGTCCAGTGGGCTGGACTGGAGTCTCCGTGAGGCCGATTTTGGCCCCTGAGCCTAGTGTTTGACACCCTGGCTTTCAAACTGTTGGGGTAACAGTGTTTTAGGATGTTAAGAAAGAGGAAAGATTCAATTTCTCACTTGTTGTATTTCACATTCATTTTCTGAACTGTGGGAAGAGAACATGCAATTTGCCCTCCACATCCGCCTCTGTTCTTCTTACCTAACATGTTTGTGCAGATTCTTGATATTATAATTTTGGAAGGAAATTTCCACACCAAGCCACAACAGTCAGCGATTTCCAGGCATCGGTAAACACACCAAGCTCCCGCTTGTTCGCTCTTCATCTGCCGGAGCTGGCGCTGACTCAGACCGGCCTTTGTAACCTTAGTTAGATAAGACGGCGGCTGTGCCAATCTGCTCTGCTCAGCCTCTTATTCTCACAGGTTATAATGAAAGGAAAGGTATTCTCTCCCTTATAAATGCCTTTGTTCTTTGATGTGGATGGAAGAAGATGCTTTTTACCCTGGCATCTATTTCAAAGAAACCTGCAATGCTCATCCTGAGAGGAATTTTGCTTCAGGCATTGCTTGGGTTTTCTTTTTATTCTTGTTTTTTTTTTTTTTTGTCTAGCATCTCATTCTGACTGCTCTGATTTAGACTAAACAGAGGATTATCAAGTTTCAAACATTTCCAGGAGGCTCTCGTCTCTCATTGTGAAATCTTGAAGTTAAACTCAATTCCATCCACACGCCCTTACAGGGTGACTGAAGGGAAATTTAACCTGTAACACTAGCAAGGCTGGAAGATACAAACATTATTCGCAGACAACGTGCAACAGTCTAAACAGAGCTTCAGCTCAGGGAGAAATTCAGTCAGTCATAGAAATATGTGGCTTTCCTTCAATATTTATGTCAGAACTTGCAGTGGCCCGGTGTCAAATCCCTTAAGGAGCCATGTTCACATGCATTTCAGCTGCCAGGTATACATACATATATGGTCCAGCACCAGCTGGTAAAGTCTTGGTTAGGCGCAAAAGAGCTCCTTCATAACAGTGAT